GGGCGGCCCGGGCCCGCGGGGGCCGCGAGCGGGTGGCGGGTGGAGCCGAACCTCGGCACAGGCGGGCCGCCTCGGGCTCGTGCGAAGCTTCTCAAGGGGAGACGAGTGTCAAGCGTTCCATCGGGGTGGGCTCCGATCTCCCCCCCGAGCCGGAATCCGCGAGTTGTGACCACGTAGCCGCAGACGGGGCTGTTTAATAACTCGCCCCGATTTACCTGCGTGATAATAGCCTCGCCTGAAACCGTCCCAGGAACCGGTGCACTTTTTAAGGCGGGGGTGGGGCTGGCGTGTGCATGCTGCTTCGGTTGGGATTCTGACAAAGTGAGCCCCGGATGCCCTTCACGTTCAGATCGGTGCACAGCAGCCGGTGTGGGACTTCCTGAATAAATAAACGTAAGGATGCTTTTCAGCCCTCCGTTCCTTCCCTCAGCCCTTTCTTCTGTCTGGGTCCATGAAGTACAGTTAATCTGACACCATCAAATCTTGTTCAACTTTTATAGGGACTAGTGTCAACATAAAGTGATATATACTGACAGTGTTAGGGAGACATGGGACAGTTTACACTGAGTGTAATCTGGAGCAAGTACGGATTTCTAAATACAACCGGTTTGTTTCTTGTAAGGAAGCCTCTGCCTCCACACAAAACTAGTCTTTAACATGAATAAGATGTGATCTTAGCTTATGTTGCATTGAATGAGCTTTTGATTTTTGGTTTGCTACAAGCAATTAAGGCTGTCATACATAAGTCTAGGAAAGGAGACACAGTCCCCCTTTTTGGTGTACTTTTTCCAGTTGCTGTGAAATAGTTCAGCTCTTCAGAATGGTGTCCTGCCCTGTTGGTGCTTGAGTGTTGGGCTGGGACCCATTCTGATACAGGTGACTCTAAGTCACAACTATGTGCGGTAGCCAGAGCTGACATCGAAAAGAAAACTATATTATATTTTCATACCATACCAAAGTTTGATGACACTGCCAGCATACGTGGTACCAGAAGTTAACCTTGTGTGTGTGTGTTTGTGTGTGCCCCCGCGTGGGAAGAGGACAATGGGAACAGTAAGTAAGGAAATACATTTTCTGTGGAGAGTTGAAAATGAAAGCAAACATACCAAAGTTACCATTCATTATCATTACAATAAAATAATAAGCAGTGTCAGCGCTAATAGTCTCTGAACTGCCGTCCTCAGCCTCCAATGCTGCCGTTGAATGGTCCGAATCTGATTCTGTGTTATGTGCCAGGGTTCGGTTATATCCAGAAGCCCTGTATTAAAGTCTGCTCCTTCAGTCTTTATTTGTAGAGTTAAATAAAGGCTTTAACATTCTGCCTGGATGGATACAGCCCACACACTCATACATAAATGCATGTGTGTTTTTCAGACACGCTCCTGAAGTATTTGGAGAACGGATTAAGTGGTAAAGCAGACGCTGACCTTGAAACGTTTGTATTCCCTAGGATCCGTTCTCTTCTCCTTTGCTCTTGTAGACCAGGCTGGCCTCGAACTCACAGAGATCCTCCTGCCCCTGCTTCCCAAGTGCCACCACCTCCTGACATGCATCTCCCTCCTTCTTGCATTATTTGATACATAATAGTCTTCTTTCCTTCTCTGTGTAGATTAGTCCTGGTCTCCTCTTTTGGCTGTTACATATGTGGACTGTAAATTAGTTTTTACATTGCCACTAGGCAGTGAAAGACCAATGTGTTTTTCCAAATGGGTATTTGTAATTATTTTTACCCGAGTTTTTTTTGTAATTGAGTTAATGATGTTTAAAAATTGATTGTGAATAGATGAGTATGATTTTGGATTGTGCTAACATTGCACTAATTCCTTTCTGTTGAATGTCTTCGTAGATTACGTACACTCTGCTTCCAGGAATACTTACCAGGGCTTTAATGGTAAGTATCCTCTTTAATTTCCTTTAAAAATGTGTTGAGGGGATAAATATATTTCCATATCTATAAAAGCACTAGTATCAATGCAAAAAACTGACCTACTTTGCTTCAGGTATTGTTTTGACTCTCTTGATTCATAAATCTCATACTGTTATAGTGTTTAATATATACTGTTATATATCATACTGTTTATAGTGTTTGTTTTTCTGGTGTGTGTGTGTGTGTGTGTGTGTGTGTGTGAGAGAGAGAGAGAGAGAGAGAGAGAGAGAGAGAGAGAGAGAATTTGTACATGTACACTTGCTGGGGCTCTCATGAGTGCTGTCAAGTATTCCGCCCCTGAGTGGTATCTAATTCTGTGTATAGTTTTGAACTTGGGATCAGAAGAAGAAGTTGGGTTTCTTTGACTTTGTATCTGTTTTCTTTTACTTAGAATTCTTTTCTTTACATTCTGGATGACTGACGGCAGGACACTGGCTGAGTTACTTTTATCAGACGTTTGTGTTCACTTACACAGATAGATGAAGTGGATTTTGTCTTGATTCTGTGCCACTTTTGTTGGAATGTGTGTTGGCTTTGCTGCTGAGGCCAGTTTTCAGTGACCAAATGAATGATAGAGAACTGTCCAGAGAAATACATGAAGAATCCTGTTAATAGAAACCTGGTGTTGGCTTGTTATAAGCTGTAATCATAAGAGATGTGTGAATACCATGCCTGTTGTTTTGATAGCTATTAGAATTAAAGTCCTGCCGTACAAGATAAAAAGCACAGAACAGTTTGGAGGTTAAAACAAAACAAAACCATTATATGAAAGGCATGAGGGAGTGGTGGTAAATTTCTTTGACTCCCAGAGAAATAAAAAGTCCAACTATTTTACCAAATGTTTAGTCATGAAACCAAAGCAAATGTGCCACCAAAGACTGTGCCATTAAAAGTATTATTTATGTGTATGTGCCTGCTTTTCTATATGTGTACCAGGTATGTGCAGTACTGTTACAGTTGAGAAGAAGGCATTGGATCCCCTGGAGCTGAGTCACAGGGAGTCGGGTGCAGTTTGGTGTGCTAGGAACCACACCTGGGTCCTCCCGTGAGCAGCACTGCTCTTGCTTTCTCCTGCTGAGCTGTCTCTCCAAACCCATTTTTATGCATATGGTTAATCTTTATCATTTCTAAAGATTAAGAGATACTTGGGATACTGCTTTGAGAAAAAGGCTGCTGTCATATGGAAACTAGGATGTCTTTAGTGAGTGCTGAAGGATATGTTTTTGAGAACAGTGACATGGTGAAATCAACAGAGGATGCTTGATTTTGTGTCAACGTTAGGCTACATTGAAGGCCGGAAATTTGGCTTTAGAAAATGAATACATTTGAATGGAGAGAAATGATAATGCTCATTTTAAAAATGTTAGTATGTTTCTTGTAGGAAATTAACAGAATGTGGAATCTATTAATAATGGGTAGAAAATGAATCCAAGATTTTAAAGTGGAGTAAGTAAGGCTAGTGGGTTTTGGAATGATAGAAGGCTTTCCTGGAGAATTAGAGTTGATTCCTAAAGACAGTGTTTGGAATTAGAATCACATAAGTCAGTTTATGTCATTACTGATGTATTACAAAATCCCTAATATTGCAATTTTATGTTTTTGTACTATAATTCCAGTAGTGATTCTCCTTAGAAGACATTGTCATAATTCCCTAGAAACATTTTCTAAGTGAATATTGTATAGGTGGTAGCCTAGATCCCTTAGTGCTTAATTTTAGGCAGTGGGCGGAGTACTTTGAATAAAAGGTATTGGCTTTTACCTCTGGCTAAGGTCCACTACTTGAAAATACTTTGAGGTCTTAGTTGTCTGCATTTTATAAATGAGGAACTTAATTTCAGGGCATTTGACTTCATTTAATAGTACTTTTTTAGTACTTGCTGTGTGCCCAGGTAATGTTCTGAGAGTTAGGAACAGAGAACCTGTGAACAGAATCTTTGTGGAACTACTTTACAGTCTAAAGGGATGAAACATGCAGAAAATAGTTTTAAAAATAACATACTCTGTGTTAGAAGATAAAAATTGTTGGGGAGAAAAGGTAATGTAGGGAGAAGACAGGTTATTTGTTTGCACTGTGATTTTACAGTTGCTGGCTCAAGAAAAAGATAACATTTGAGCATAGAACTAAAGGAAATGAGGATGCCAACTCTGACATAGTCTGGACCAACAATGTAACAGACTTTAGTAAATACTAATAAAAGATTTATGGATTCCAAATGAAGCCCATAATATATCGTTAGCCTTGGGTTTCCTGTCTTTCTGCTGAAAGAAAGGCACTGACACAGATTTTCTCCACACCACACTGGTGAGGATTTTTATTTGTTTACAGTGTTTTTCTTACTCATACTCTTCTTAAGTAAAGAGCAGATGGAAAAGGACTGAGAACACTGAGCTTCAAAGAGAATACAAAGACTGGTTTGACCAGAACAGATTCTTTTTGCTGAGCAGTGTGAAGATAAGGCTAAAGAGGTGAAGTGTAGCCGGAAGGCATTGAAAAATCAAAGGCGATCTGTTTATATCTAAGAATCAATGAAAATGAAGACCTGGAAGAGGTGTTTTAGTGAGCACTGCAGATACAGCGGAAAAGCCTTCCTGGTAGAGGAACAGTGGAAACGTGGGTGTACATTGTTGGAACAGCAAGGAGCCTTGTGAGTGGAGTGGGAGGTGAGGTTGTAAGGTAGTCGGGGTTCAGAGGTGATGGGGCAGAGCGTAGATGCTTTCTCTACTTGGGCACTATTGACAGTTTGGATTAGCTATTATTTTTATTATAGGGTAATGTGTGTGTGTGTCTGTCTGTCTGTCTGTGTTCTTCCCTGTGTGTGTCTATCTGTCTGTCTGTTCTATGCATTCACTGCAGAATGTTAGCAGCATCCTTGATCCCTGTGTGGTAGATGTCAGTAGCACCTCCTGCCTAGTTGTAACAACTAGAATTTTTTATTACAGACATCTCAGTGTTCCTTGGTGGGTTGTAGGAAGGAGGGAGGTGGTGTGGGAGAGTTGTTTCTGTTTAAGAACTAGTTGGGGCTGGGGAGATGGCTCAGTGGGTAAGGGCACTTGTTGTGTAAGCATGAGGACCTGAGTTCGAATCCCTGTCACCAAGTAAAAGGTGTGCATGCACCTGTAATTCTAGTGCTGTGTGGGGTGGAGATAGGATCGCTGTGACTTGTTGGCTGTCAGCCTAGCTCCAAAGTTCACTGAGAGATCTTGTCTCAAGGGAATGAAGCAAAGACTGATAGAGTAGAACATTTGACTTTTTGTTTTCTGCTGTCCATATGTGTGCACAGTTGTGTGCACCTACTCACAGGCAAACACACGCACAGATAGAGACAGAAAGATAGAGAAAACCATTAATAAAGGATCATACAGGTTATTTTAAGGCTTTGGCTTTTAAGTTGGCATAAGATGGGAAGACATCATTGGGCATAATTTGCCTTATTTTGTAACAGTTATTCTGGCTCTTATCTTTAGAATAAACAGAAGGGAAGTAAAAATGGAAGCAGGAAAACCAGTTAGACTCTGGAGTGATCTAGGTGAAGGTTATGGTAGCTGGCAATGCTGTTGGTACAGGGACATGAGAAGTAGGTTTCGTTCAGGACCTGATGGCACACGGCTGGGTGGGGGTTTGGGTTTTCCAGACAGAGTTTCTGTGTGTAGCTTTGGAGACTGTCTTGGAACTCACTCTGTAGACAGTCTGGCCTCGAACTCACAGAGATCTGCCTGCCTCTGCCTCCCGAGTGCTGGGATTAAAGGTATGCGCCAACTCTCCCTGGCTGCGAGGTAGTTATTTTGACCAAGATTTTGTCAGATACCACAACTCAGCATATTTTTTGTAGTAGCGATTCAAGTAAATAGACTTGATTCAAATTACTGGGGCAGATTTGTTCTTCTGAATAAATTATTAATTATTTTTTCACTTAATAGTAAAGAAATAATGTCCTTGTATTTACATTTAAAAATGATTTTAAAATTCATTTTGGCAACCTGGGAGAAAAATTATCCAGAAAATTTATTTCCCTGTAAGTACACTGTTAATGCTGGTAGACCCTCCGTCTTTGACTGGTTGCTGTGTGTGCACAGTAAGTAGGAAGTGCTGAGACAGAAAAGCTGGGCTGGTGTTCTGCAGAGGGCCAGGTCTGTGCGTGCTCAGAGTCAATAGAGACGCCGACACAAGCTACCACTAACCCAGAGACTAGCAGAAATAACTAAACCTTCGCTTCTGTATCTGGCTAAAGTTAATGTTGGGGTTACTTTTTATGTGAGGTCTTGCAGAGAATTTAATATTGATATTCATCCTCTGTTTGAGAGGTACAGGCATATGCTGCATCAAATATCTTGTGATTTCAACAGATGACTGACTCTGCATTAATGAATTATACAGACTTTCCAAATAGTGACAGGTTTTAGTGTACAATATAAGATCCATACGAATGCCACCAGCTGCTTAGAAAGCCTTCTAAGGATTGGGGAGCTGCCAGGTTGACAGTGATAGATAAAAGTTTTTAAGAGTTTTGTTTTTTCAGTTTAAAGTATGACTTTTGTTGTTGGCAGAAAATGGTTTTTTTCTTTGTAGCAACATTTTCAATGCATATGTGAGAAAATGTTTGCTAAGTGTCCATGTCTGAAAACCATGGGTTTGTAAAATGTATTTTATTCTTTGACAGTTTCATACATGATGCAAATGTCTTACTATTACAGTCACCCCATTATCCTTTCTATTTCTTCTGTTCTCTGTGTGCCGCTTCTTCCCAAGATCCCCTTCTATTTTCATGTCTGTCTTCTAGGACCCATTGAGTTTAACTAGGATTGCCTGAGCGTAGGTGTGTGGTAATTTCCTGCAGCATGGGCAGCTTACTAGTGGATACGCGGAAAAAAGAGACTCCCTCTCCCTGAGCAGCTATTAACGGCCAGTAGTTCCTCAGCCTACTGATGGTGCTTCATGAGCTCATCTCCAGTCCATGGTGGACTGCTGACATGTTCAGTTGTGTGAAGATAGCCACAGCTGCTGTGAGTTGATGAGTGTAGCTGCCATGTTGTGTACAGGGACAGACAGCACTTCCAGCACTCTTCCTGGGACTTGGGCTCTTACCTTCCTGCTGCACTGTCTTCCACAGTGGTCCCTGAGCCTTGGAGGGAATCATACTGAAGTCTTTTACAGGGTTGGACACTCAACAGTTGTTTTTGCTCAGTCCTTTGACCAGTTACGAATCTCTCCATTGACTCCTGCTCACTGTAAAGAAGCTTCTCTGATCAAGGCTGTAAGAGAAGCAGCATTATATGACTATAAACATAAATATTTAGACGGGGTATGCACCAAGTCCCTTTAATAAAAACCATCAGTAAGCGATAGGTTCCTAGGGCCTGTTACCTCCCCACTCATGGGCTTTTGACCAAGTTTGTAGGACCATGAAAACCATAGTTTTTGTCTTTCAGTCTTCCTGCTGAAAAGTGCTCTTTATAAAAAAGTAGTTAATTTGAGTCATAAAGCAAGCATGGTACAGTGACTTTTCTTGGAGAGAACTGTGATTCTTTGTTATGTAGCACAATCGCTTTATGTGCATTTTCTGTTTCATCACTTTGAAACAAAAAGATGTAATTGAATCAAAGGCCAGGACTTAAAATTATTAATTCCTCTGTCAAGGACATTCTAAAACAAAGGTGATTTAAAAATTGGTTGTTTTTCATTGGGTGTTTGACATTAATATAATGACTGCTAGATTAGTCTGGTGCTTCATAGTTCCTTGATTTGTACTGAAATACTAGTTATCCATAATGTTTGTATACTTGTAGTGTGTGTGCTGTGAAAACAGAAATAATATCCTTGTGATTTATAGAAATAGTTTTGGCCTCATGGATCTCAGAAATGTCTGGTCAGCAAACCATTGTATGATAACTGCTCCTCTAAGAGGCATTAAAAGAGACATTTAAGATGAAGCCCAGCAGTGCACTACTGAGAATCTGTATGAAGTTTCCAGGTTCTGTAAATAGAAGAAAGATGACTACCAGTGAAAGTTCTTGCATAGTTTAGTAATTGAAATAGATGCAAAAAATTAAAAGATTCCAAGTAGTTACTTGGATTGGAATTAAAAAGACTGTTTTCATGTAGAAAAAATAACAGGAGGTTAGCTAGGACAATACTTACATGATTCTGGGAAACCCATTTCCTCTTGTGAACTTAAGTTTGCAAATCTAAAAAGTGAAAAGATTAAATTTGACTAGGGTCACTTTCAGGCTTAAAAGGCAAGGTTATGAGTAGTATTTATGTAAAGTTTCACCATCTTTATTCAGACTAGAAACATTAAATGATTGTAGGTAAAACTGTTGTATTTATAATAAAAATATGGAATGAGTGGTAATGAGGCATTTTAAGGGATTTTATAGAAAACATTTAAATACTCATCTTTATACTCACCAAATTATGACCTTTAGTTTTCTAGTATAAGTTTGTGTACTCCTGCACTAGAATTCTTCAGTATTTGTGTTATGAAAATTCACACTCATTTCTTTTATTCAAAAGATTTGAGAATTGAAGTATTTGTTGGGGCCGTGTTATTCTCAGGTACAGGACCAAAAGATTGGTCTTAGTTTGTGGTGTTACTTCCTACAGTATCTGTATCAGCTGAATGTTTCTAGTTGAAAATATAGTTGAGTTTTTAGACATTTTGGGAGTAACTAGTACAAAAAACAAGTGTAGTTTACATTATAGTATACTTAAGGCAAAAAAAAACCCTTGATATTTATTAAATGCTGACTTTTTGAGCCTAGTATACTATAGTATACATAAAGCTATATGTTATATTTTTTTGTGCTGTAGTACTAAGTTCCAGATACAAGGCATTATAGTAGTAGACTTCTAGTCCTCTAAATATGCTTGCATTGAAAATATTTTTAATGTAGAATTTTGTAGTTGATAGTTTATTTTTCTTTGAAATGTGAAGCTTTGTTAGCAAATAATAGTTTTTAAGAAATTATCATTTTGTTATTTTTTATATTTAATATTGAGTTAAAATGTTAGTGCAAATTATTGATTTAGATTTGTATGAATATATTGTGTTTAATAAAAAAATTTTCTGAAGAAAATGGTTTATTTTACTCATAATCTCTTATTGACTCTTTTAGGAATGGATCGTGATTATGGCCCTGGATCTTATGGAGGTCTGACATTCCAGGATATTTATCTAAAAATTCTTCTTTTGAGTGCCAGTAAAGGTGAGCATCATTTAATTTTTTTTTTTTTTTAAACTCTTATAGGGCTGGATCGTGACTATGGCCATGGATCCTATGGGGGTCAAAGATCCATGGATTCCTACCTAAACCAGTCCTATGGCATGGACAATCACAGTGGTGGTGGTGGGGGTAGCAGGTAAATTGCTTAATCACTTGGCCAAATAATTAGAACTATAAGATTCTGGATGTATTAAGTATTCCTTAGGCTTTTATGATACTTTGCTTTTTTGAACTTTGCTGTTTAGTATTGAATCACCTTAAATATTTAAAGGTGCTAATTAATGGGTATAAAAATTTTCATAGTCACATTGGCAGACATTATTTTCGGAGGACATTATTTATCTTTTATTTCACTGTAATAGAATAAGACATTCTTTTAACAGTGGACACTTTAAAAAGAAAAAAAAGTTTCTTTTATTTTTAATTTCTTATCAGTCAAAATGTCCTGCTCAAAATGTTATTGGAGATACTTATTTGTGAATTATTTTTCTTAATTGTTGAGAAGAATTTTTTTCTAATGTGGGCACTGTGTAACTGCAAAATAGTCTGCCTAGAGTGGCTTTAACTGAACCAGGCTGGCAGCTTTCAGTTTCTAAGAAACATTTAAGATAGATTTTCACTTAAGTTTACTTTTAAAGCAAATTTGAAGAGCGTATTGTAATAGTAGAAGTGTTCTTAAAATCATGTCCAGGTTGTTTACTGGCAGCTGCTGCTTACATCCAAAACACCGTGCTTAAAAATTGGGGCACCTTGAACTACAGTCTAGACTATTTCTAGTTTACTGTTGACAGTCTGTGAGACTTACACTAATTAAACAACTACAGGTCTTAGGACTGATCATGTTTAATAACCTTAAGGGGGGGGTCTGTTTGTTGAGATATAAAACTTCCTTCTAAATACAAAGTAAAACTAGTTAGACATTTGAGGTCATTGTCCTTCATAAACTGAAGGACCTGGATTCCTTATGATGGACTAGAGTGATGTTTATTTTCTTTGTGCTTCAAGTGTGTCACTGCGGTTTATAGTAGAGTCCAGTCATGAGAACGAACAGTTCATTGCTGTCTTTATGTAATGCTTTGAAATGTGCAGTTGGGAGGAATAGTATATGACTAGTGGGCTTCAGAATTAAGTAGTGTCTTCTATTGAGTGACCTGTAAATCACTGACTAATGTAACATCATTAAATGTTTCAGTTTATCAGTTATTGCCCTCTTACATTGTGTGTTGTGCATAAACGGTTTCTGTAGTTATCATTCATCTCTTGTGTAATTGTGAGCTTTTTAAAAACTGTTGTAAGATAATAAGCAATTCTGTAATCCATGTTTTGGATTTGTGATAAGTAAAATGTTTTGTTTTTTTCTGTTGAGACAGTGTGCTTACCTTTTAGAGTAGTTTTTAATGTGATAATTTCTTGATAGGAAATGCTTTTTCAAATAATTGAAGGCCTTATAAAATGCATTCTTTCTCATCTGCTTTGAATATTCATATGTAGAGGGTACATATTGGTGGTCTTTTATTTTATGTTCTATTTTACATGTTTATTCTTCTAGATTTGTTAGATTTGCTAGTCTTTCAGAGTATTTAAGGATTGACCTTGGCTGAAGTTTGGCAGGATGCCAAACTTTATAACCTAATTCCTCAGCTTTGATTACTATAGTCATAATGAGGCAGTTTCGTGATAGAGATTATTGAGGTGCAAAGGATGACTCAGTATCACAAAGACCCCCTCCCATCTATGCAGTCTTTGTGTCCCTAAAAAACCAAAATGTTGTAAATGCTTTGTAATTGTCATTATTAGGGAAGAATTTTAAAAAAGTTTAATTAGTTGGTGAACTTTAGCAAATAACCTTTTCTAAGACTAGGGCTGGGCTTTAATTATTAGACAGACAAATTAAAATAAAATAGAAAAGCTGCTAAAAAGCAGAGTTTAAAGCTAAGGTTAACTGAACTCAATTTATATTTAGAACTGACTCAGATGGCTTTCTGTCTGGTCTCGTGTGGACTGCCCAGCCCTAATCAAGTGTGAGCAGAAGCGCAGCTATGCAAACCACTCTTGTGTAAATGAATTTTAGCTGATAAATGTCATCTGATAACTTGTCTTTTGAATTGTCTAACATTAGTAAGCTTACTTTTGTTTTTTCCCTCACTGTGCAACTTTTCCAGGTTTGGACCTTATGAGTCTTACGACTCCAGGTCTTCTCTGGGTGGGCGAGATCTGTACAGATCTGGCTATGGTTTTAATGAACCCGAACAAAGCCGCTTCGGAGGTAGTTATGGTGGTCGATTTGAGAGCTCCTACCGGAATAGCCTTGACTCTTTCGGAGGTAGAAACCAGGGCGGGTCTAGCTGGGAAGAACCTTACTCCCGTTCAAAATTGAGGCCTGGGTTTATGGAGGACAGAGGAAGAGAGAATTACTCTTCCTACAGCAGTTTTTCTTCACCCCATATGAAGCCTGCACCTGTAGGCTCTCGGGGGAGAGGAACGCCTGCTTATCCTGAAAGTACGTTTGGAAGCAGAAACTATGATGCTTTTGGAGGACCATCAACAGGCAGAGGCCGAGGCCGAGGAGTAAGTACAACAGAATCTTTTCAGATTCTTTTCAATAGTCACTCTTTTAAACCCTTTCAAGACCATGGTTTTCAATGAGAACAAACACTGTTTGTCCCAGTGTGTTTTAAGCGGAGGCTGAGTCATAAAGTTTTAGGTTGGCTGCAAAAGTTTTCCAGCACCTCAGAAAATAAGTTGCAGTGTGAGATGATTATTCATGAAGTTATGGCAAATCTCCCTTTATGAAAAAGGTGAGGATATTAGGTTTGGTCTAAAAGGGGTTAAAAGGAGTTGCATTTTTTCTTGTTAACACTAGCAGTTTTGCTGGTGAGATAGCTGTTGGATTATTGCAAAAGGTAACTGAACCCTTCTTGAGCTTTGAGTAGGTTAAAGGTGCAATGTATAATAAAATATTTACCCTTTGTTAGTAAACTCTAGCAAGTAGAATCCCTTCAGAGTTCATGTTTCCCGTTAAACACATGAGAGATTAAAAGTCAGTGGTAGCTCAGGGCAGCTTAGCCATGTTTGCGTGGTGAAGTTGTTGATATATGTAACAGACGGTAGAGTGATTGTGATCAGTAGTAGTTTGCTAACTTGCTCTCTTATCGTATGTCCTGTTGGTGATTGTTTCATTTCCTCTAACTCTATTGAAAAAGAATCTCTTATCTGTATATATGTTTACAGTTGCTTCCTAGGAAGTGATCTTTTGCAAGTTATTGCCTAACTGGATAAATATTTTGGTCCATAGGTGTTTAATTTAAAGGATATACATTGAAGCAGTTGTGCTCTGTGGTCTTGGATAACTTGATAAATTTTTACCTAGTAAGGGTGCATAGATTACGGGATTATGTAGTTTAGTCATATAAATACCATTTTATATTTATATTTTTGTAATATAAGATGTTTTTTCAAAATCAGCTGTGTTTATTCTCCTTGTAGAAGAAAGTATTCTGATAAAAACTGTAGTAGGGTATGTGTTTTTGACTGTTCATTAGCCTTTGGTCATCAGTGTAGTTTGTCTTATTTGTGTAGAAATTTTGCATTTGTGGTAGTTACTCTTTACTTACGTAAAATGCATTGCACCTTTAATATTCATAATGAAGATTTTTCTGATGTGTCCATATAAATTACATGGAGACATTTATGCAAAATCCTAGGTTAGATAGCTATTTGTAATCATATATTAATGTGTAAGCAGCAGTGTTGGTCCACCATACTTGATGATTGCAGGTTAATTAAAAGTAGCTGGAGTAGTAGGCTTTGGGTTTTGAAATTGAAAATACATTCTAGTTTGAAAATTTGGAAACCCATTTAACCTCTTTCATGCTGTGTAATAGTTTGGACAAAGGATTTTTTCTTAATGAGGATTCAGGTATCAATTTTGTTTTCTTGATATCAAACTGAGTATTCCTGTACTTTGTATTTACCGTTCTATTCTGAGTGGAGTTCTCTTTCTTTCCTTGTTAGCCAAGTAGATGAACTGGTAGGCTCTTCTTTTAACCTTCCTTGTACAATTCCCACTGGGTCCATCTCTTCAGATTACTCCTCAGTCTTTACCTTCTGAAGAAAGATTAGCAGAGTACATTTCTGTGGCTGTGACCTCTTGGTGTAGTAGACTTTGTTAATGACAGGAGAAAAGGAAGGGACACAGAGTCTAAACTTGCTTCTGGGGTGTGGGTTATCACCTGTCTCTTGAGGTACAAATGCGAGTGGACTGGCAGGTGCACTTCTTTCTCTGAAGTGTGTCCTGGAAGGTGCTGCATGGGTGGGCTAACTCTCCTCTTCACACTAATGTTCCATCTCGCTTCTCATTCCCATTTCCAACAGGGAGAAACCCTAAATCATTTCTGAATTCTTTTTACTTTACACTACAAATATGATCATCTTTGTGTATCTTAGTTTTAAGCAAGGTTTTAGTAGAATAAAAGATTTCTTTTAAGGTCTTTGATGGGAAAACGTCAAGTAGGAACTCTGAAGAGTTTTCAGAGAGCTGTACAAGTGGTGACCCTCTGACAGGCACATGGTGTTGTTTATGGTCTCACATAATTCTGAATTGTAACAATTAAAAATTGGACCTAGCCACCTCTGTAATCCTGGGAATACTAATGCATTGGATTTGAGTTCATGTAATAATATATACATTTTTATATGTGCTTTCTCAGAGAGGACATGTAAAATCAGTTAAGTTCCTCAGAATTTTCAGGTGAAAACTAGTAACTAGATGACAGAAATTTGTATTAATCCATATTTTATTTGATATGCTAATGTTTCTTGATTTCACAAATTTACAGCATATGGGTGATTTTGGAAGCATTCATAGACCTGGAATTATTGTTGACTATCAAAACAAATCTACCAGTGTGCCGATTACTACTACAAGAGGAATAAAAAGAAAAATGATGCAAATATTTAATAAGCCCGGGGGAACCTTTATCAAGAAACCTAAGCTAGCAAAACCTATGGAGAAGATGAACCTCAGCAAATCACCTGGTAAGTCAAAGACTGTTGGCTGCGGCTCAGGGCCCTTTACATTACAGAACACGCGATTTATGAATTTTAGTGTGCATATAGAAAAGTGCATAGTGATTGTAACTGAAAATTAGATCTGTGAATCCCCTTATGTAGTTATTAGTCAATTGTTGCTATTCAAATGTATTTTTATATGTATATATGTATGTATGTGTATGATGTATGTATATGGGCATGTGCATGCCACAGCATGCCTGTGGAAGGTCAGAACAACTCGAGGGAGTTACTGCTGTTATTCTACCTTATAGGTCCCAGGATTGAACTCAGGTCATTGGGCTCGGTGGCAGGTGCCTTTCCTTGCTGATCTTGCTTGCCAAGTTCCCAAATGCACTTTTTTTTTTAAAAGATTTATTTATTATGTATACAACATTCTACTTCCATGTGTGCCTGCACACCAGAAGAGGGCACCAGATCTCATTGTAGATGGCTGTGAGCCACCATGTGGGTGCTGGGAATTGAACTCAGGACCTCTGGAAGAGCAGTCAGTGCTCTTAACCTCTGAGCCATCTCTCCAGCCCCCCAAATGTACTTTTAAAATTAATGTGCACTGGTTGGAAAATGAAAACACAGTCTCTCACATCACTGGTCAGTTTATTTTTCTCTAATTTGTGTCTTGGAACCTTAATTACTCCCTTCCCGCCAAGATCTGGGTAGCCTAGAACTTGCTATGTAGACCACATTGGCCTTGAACTCACAGAGATCCACTTGTCTGCCTCCTGAGTAAAGGAATTAAAGATGTGTGCCAGTATACCCAGCAAAATGTATTTTTAAAAGGCTTTGCAGATGATTTTGATTCAGACCCCTTTCTTGGATGTTATGTTTATTATTAGAGGAGTATTTATGTCATAATGTACAAAATTCTTTGTATCCAGGACAAAGGCAAATAATTTTTTAAGTGCTTGGCACTAGGTAAAACTATTTCCTCTAGAAAATGGTTTGCTTTTTTAGTCTTCTGGAGATGAGCTCTCTTAGAATCACATTTCTGTTATTACAGAGTGTTGGAAAATTCAAGCCTGTATGAAGATGGTAATAAGATAGTTTCTGACAGCACTGAGAGAAAGGACACACTAGTAATAAGCTTAAAAATCCAGAAGTTCATGAGCTACAGAGAGTGGTAAAGGAAATTAAAGGAAATCTAAGTTAAGGGAAAGCTAGATGATTAGAAGCCATATTGTCCGGAAGGTATTAGCTCCTAAATTTGGACTGTAGCAGAGCCCTCATGCTTTGGACTGACTAGGAACTCACACGTCACAGTCTGCAGTCTTAGCTCAGAGCAAGGACAATTGGTCCAGAGTGGTCCTGACACAGTGACTGACAGCTATGGAGCTGTGGGAGAGAGTTGAGAAATGGGAAAGGAGCCAAACAAGGCTGCCGGAACTATGCAGAGGAGGAGAGAACAGTTCGTACCAGTGTTGGACTAGCTGACTAGCCTCATACAAAGTTAACACCAAGAACTGCTTCTTAGAACAAACCTCAGAAGTCTTTTAGCAGAAACCATAGGCAAGGGTTCATGATTTTGGATTTAGCAAGGAATTTTTACACAGGACACCAAAAGGCATGAGCAACAAATAAAAATGAATAAACTAGATTGCATCAAAATTAAAACTTTGTGCTTCTAAGCTGCCATTAATAGACAGTGAAAAGAAATTGTGTGTGTGGTGGTGTACCCTGTCATCTCAGCACTTCGGAGCCTGAGGTGGGATAGTGACTGTGAAGCCAGCTTAGGAGATAAGACTCTGTTTCTTCTACCCCTCATGAACTGTGTATCTGAGAAAGGACTTGTATTCACAGCATATAAAGAACTTTTAACTCTAGGCAGTGGTGGCGCACTCCTTTAATCCCACCTCTTGGGATGCAGAGGCAGGCAGATTTCTGTGAGTTCAAGGCCAGACTGGTCTACAAGAGCTTGTTCCAGGACAGGCTCCAAAGCTACAGAGAAACCCTGTCTCGAAGAATCAATAAAGAAAAAAAAAAGAACTTCAACTCACAGAAAAAAAAAAAAACCAAAAACCAAAAAACCATAAACAACTGAAAAATAGGCAATGGATATATACAAACTTTCTTCAAAAAGGCATGTAAATAGCCAGTAAGCTTATGTAAAGCTCACCAAAAATCACTAATGAGATAAATGCAAAAAAGTACCACAGTTAGATGCTGTGTCCTCCGGAATGGCTAGAATAAAAAGGATTGATTAAGAAACTTTAGCAAGTCTATGGAGAAAATGCTTTAGAAAAAAATTAACTGATTTACTCAGAGAGTGAGCTTCTGGAAGTCATAGGACAACTTGGTGGAATTGGTCCTTTCCTTCTACCTTTACATGGTTTCTAAAGATAAATTCAAGTTGCCAGACTTACAGAACAAATGTTTTATCTGCTGAGCCATTTCACTTCCTCCTTCCCCCTCCTGTTTTGGAGATGTGGTCATGTACTGTAGTCCTGGCTGGCTTAGTATTTGACTATGTAGTCTCTGATATGGTTTCCAATTTAAGGTGGTTGTTTTAGTTAGGATTTCTATTGCTGTGAAGAGACACCATGACCATGTCAACTCTTGTAAAGGAAAACATTTTAATTGGGGTGGCTCACATTTCAGAGGTTCAGGAGCACAGTGGCATGCAGACAGATATGCTGGTGCTGAGAGTGCTACGTCTTGCAGGCAACAGGGACTGATACACTTGGCAGTATCGTGAGCATAGGAAGTCTCAAAGCCCTCTCCCCACCCAGTGACACAGTTCCTCCAACAATGCCATACCCACTCCAACAAAGCCAC